AAGGATTGACATGTCGCCAGGGGAGTGGGAGGGGGAATTAAAATGGATGGTAACCGGACGGTCCGGTTGGTTGGTGCGTGCAGAACTCAGATGCTCAGCTAACTGGTCCTCTGGTCTGCATTTTATCTCCCCAGTATAGAGGAGACCACACTGGGAGCAACGGACACAATAAATCAGGTTGGATGAGGTACAGTTGAAGCTCTGCTGGATCTGAAAGGATTGTTTGGGGCCTTGGACGGAGGTGAGAGGGGACGTGTGGGGGCAGGTGTTGCACCTCTTGCGGTTTCAGGAAAAGGTACTGGGTGTGGTGGAGAGGTTGGTGGGGTATGTAGTGCTGATGAGAGAGTCGCGAAGTGAACGGTCCCTGCAGAAAGTGAACAGGGATGGGGTCTGAGTGTAGGTGGCGGAAACTTTGGAAGATGATGCGTTGGATTCAGAGGTTGGTGGGCTTGTGTGTGAAGACTAGGGGGGCCCTATCCTTATTGTTGCGGGGAAGCGGGGTTTGAGGGCAGAAGTGTGGGAAATGGGGAGATGCAGTTGGGCATCCTTAATTACAGAGGTGGGGAAACTACGGCTCTAAAACAGGAGGATATCTGGGATGTCCTGGAGTGGAATGTCTCATCCAGGGAGCAGATGTGGCGAAGGGGGAGGAACTGAAAGTATGGGATAGCATTTTTACAGGAGGATGTGTGAGGGGAGGTGTAGTCGAGGTAGTTGTGGGAGTCAGTGGATTTGAAATGGATGTTAGTGGTGAATCAGTTTCAGGTGATGGAGATGGAGAGGTCCAGGGAGGGGAGGGAGATGTCAGAAATGATCCAGGTGAATTTGAGGGCAGGGTGGAAGGTGTTAGCAAAGTTGATGAACTGCTTGAGCTCCTTGCGGGATCACTAGGCAGCACTGATACAGTCATCAATATAACAGAGAAACAGGTGAGGGATGGTGCTGGTGTAGTTGCGGAAGAGGGACTGTTCCACAAAACCTACAAATAGGCAGGCATAACTTGGGTCCATGTGGGTGCCCAAGGCCATCCCTTTGGATGGTAAGGAGTGGAACGAATCAAAGGAAAAATTATTGAGGGTGAGGACCAGTTCTGCCAAGCGAATGAGAGTGTCACATGAAGGGGACTGGTTGGCCCACTGGAGAGGAAGGAGCAGAGGGCTTCTAGGCCATCCTTATGAGGGATACAGGTGTACAAGGACTGTATCCCCAAAGAGCCTGAATGACTTCACCAGCTTCAAAATCCCTCTACACCCAGCTTTATCCCATGTCCCGCCTCCCTCACCTGTCCTAACCTGTCCATCTTCCTACTCATCTATCCACTTTACCCTTCCCACTGACTAATCACTATAACCCCTTACCTGTATCCACCTATCACCATCACAACTGCCTTTCCACAGCCCCAACCCCCTCCCTCTATTTATTTCGGGGCTCCCCTAACTCTCCCCAGTCCTGACGAAGGGTTTTGGCCCAAAACATTGACTTTCCTGCTCCCCTGATGCTGTCTGACCTGCTGTGTTTGTCCAGCTCCATTTTTATTGACGCTGGCTTCCAGCATCTACACTCCTTACTGTCTCCTAGTCATGAAAGTATTTAAGTTTATTTCTCTTGTTTAATGATTTGCCGTTTTGGCTTTCTATAATGTAAATGTTTGTTTTCTCAATTAATTCTATGCAGATGACGCCTTAATGATTATCAAATGCACAAGACTAGAAGAAACCCACCAACACATAAACAACAACCACACTGGAATAAAATTCACAAAAGAAGAGGAGAAAATAACCGACTACCCTTCCTACACATAATGGTAGAACGTAAGAACAACGGGGAACTCCAGACTGGCACATACAGAAAGACCACACAAACAGACGAGATACTTAATTATTCCAGCAACCACCCCAACACCCATAAACAGAGCTGCATCAGGACATTATTCAAATGGGCCACAACACACTGCAGCAACCCGGAATTGTGCAAAACAGAACAGGAACACTTATACAGAGTTTTTAAAAGGAACGAATACCCAAATAGCACTATCCGCCATTACCTCTGCGACAGACCACAACAAGAAGACACAACACGGCCAGACACACTAGTCACCCTACTGTACATCAGGGATATATCAGAGATGACCACAAGACTACTCAGATCCCTAAGTATCAGGGTAGCCCACAAACCAACAACAGCTACTTCAACAGCTACTGATGAACGTAAGGGATCCCAATCCCACAACCAATAAAACTAATGTAATATACAAAATACTATTCAAGGACTTTGAGAAACATTACATTAGCCAAATTGGAAGAAAACTGACAATAAGGATACACGAACACCAACTAGCCACCAAGAGACAGCCAATTCTCACTGGTCTCAATACACACAGACAAAGAAGGACACAAATCTGACTGGGACAACATGTCCATAACAGCACAAGTCAAACAGAGAAATGCCAGGGAATTCCTGGAGGCCTGGTATTCCAACTGAAACTCCAACAACAAACACATTGAACTGGACCCAATATAGAAACCACTGAAAAATGAAACCGGAAGTAATGCCAACCAGCCCAGCAAACTGAGGCATATAAATAACTAGCGAGACATAACACCAATGCTTCACCGGAGGTGCACTGATGATGTTACCTAGTAGAGTGATGAAACGTCTGCAATCAAACACGCTGGCTTGGCGAGCAAATCTACAACCTCATCCACAACCCAAGCTACAAATCTTCTCAAAAACTTTAAACTGGATTAGTAATCCAGAGGCCTGGGATGATAATCCAGAGAGCAGGAGTGCAAATTCCACTTTGGCCGTTTGAGAATTTGAATTCAGTTTAAAAATTCTAGAATAAAAAGGTGGTATCAGCAAATATGGTTATGAAACTCTCAAATTGCAATCAAACCTCATTTGATTCACTAGTATACTTTAGAGGGGGAAAAACAGATATCTTTACTTGGTCAGGCCTGTATGTCATTCCAGTTCCACACTATGTGGTTGACCCTGAACTGCCTTCTGAAATGATCTGGCAAGCCATACCCAAGGACATAGGAACAAAAGTAGGCATTCAAACCATCAAACCTGTTCAGATGATCAATTAAATAATTGTTGCTCTATTGCTTAATTCCCTCAACCCACCCGGTTCTGCAATTTTATGTAACAATGATCAGTCAATTTAACTTTTTAAGTTTTCTATCAGCCTAGTCACAACAGCAATTTGGGAGAAAGTGTTCAAATTATGAGGGCCAATTTTTTTTCATAGAGTGGTTCGTGTGTGGAATGAACTTCCAGAGGAAGTGATGGATGCAGATACAGTTACAACGTACAAAAGACATTTGGATAAGTCCTAATGAAGGGTCCCGGCCCAAAACATAGACTTTCCTGCTCCTCTGATGTTGCCTGACCTGCTGTGTTCCTCCAGCTCCCCACTGTATTGGATACGCACATAATAAGAAATGTTTGGTGGGATATGTGCCAAGTGCAGGCAGGGGAGACTAGTTTTGTTTGGGATTATGATCAGTATGGGCTGGTTGGACCAAAGGGTCTGTATCTGTGTTGTATGACTCTATGACTCTATATCTACCAACCTTTCCGTGAAAATCTATTTACCTTCCATTATGGCAGACAAGTCACACTTTACAGTTACTGTCCCTTGTTCTGGACTCAGTCACTGCAGAAAATTTAGTTATCTTATAAACTCAAGTGAATACAATTAAACTGCATAATTTAACCCTTTTAGCATTATTATCATTCTGCTGAATCTGTACTGTAAACTTCTTCCTGTAGTGTAATGCCCAGAAATGAATGCAGTAATCTAAATGGGGTCCAACAAAGACTATATAAACGGTAGCATAACTTTTACTTTTATTTCAATTGTGATTAAAAAAAAGTCTGTTAACTTTTTAAATTATTTTTGTGCCTGTCTAGAAATTTTCAATCATTTCTCTCTTGAAAGCCCAAATTTCTGCTCCTCCACATTCTATTTAGATGCTACTCTAACCCATTTTTTTTTCCTTAATGGCAACTAAAGGTGGGCAATAAATGTTGCCATTTTCAGCAATGGCTGCATCACTGGAATGAATCAGATTAGAAAGTTAATAGTTTAACCATATTAGTTTACAACTTAAAACTTTGCTATAATTGTATTAATTATAAAACAATGATCATTATAAATGATTGCAGCCTATATATTGTAATTTTATCATGAGAATGAACTGTGTTGATGGTAGAGTGATGGGTCTTGCATTCATAACATTCTATTCCTTTTGACAATTCTGCAGAACCTTTTTCTATTGCAGATGTAGGTCTGGCATGTTCTCTCCGAATAGTGCAAAATTGAAGTCTAAGTACTAAAATATTGTACACATAAGAACATTCTAAAATAAATTACTTTTTAGTTTGATTGCTCCATTAGTGTACATTCCGAAATGTAAAAAAAATGAATAAAAATATCAAAACTCTGTATCCTGGGGAAACATGGCTGGTTCTACTCTTAGCAATTTTTTTTCCCCAAAAGATTATATTCACCATTGTGAAAAATGTAATTTATGTTTTTTTTATTTCCTATGATGTAGCTCAAGGGATACCATGCGCGCTAGAAGTTTATGTTATATCAAGTTCATGGCCCCACTGCATTTCTACCAGACCATCATTCATAAAGTAAGGAATGAATGAAACACAGCGGCGCTGAGTATTCTAAAGCTCAGCCTCCATTGTACGGCACTGCGCCTGCGCCCTGGTTACTGTACGGCATTGACCGGAAGTTGCGGCAAGTAGCGACAGTCAGTGCAGTTGCCGTGGAGCGGCGGCTGTGACCGACCATGTTACCCCTCTCCATAAAGGACGATGAGTACAAGCCGCCTCGACTCAACCTGCTGCGTAAGGTCTCGGGTTGGTTTAGGTAGGTGTCGAGGGGACGGATGGCCCGGTGGACACGATGAGAGTGAACGGCCTCCAGTGGCGGGCCGTGCGCCGAGGAGCTGGCGCGGGGTCCGGGCTCTGGGTACCGGGCAGGGCCGCGCCACTTAAGTCTTCCGCTGACATCCTTTCTGTTCCCTTTCTCCCTCCCCCTGCCAGGTCTATCCTGTCGGACTCCACGTCCCGGAACCTCTTCTTCTTTCTGATGCTCAATCTCTCCTTCGCTTTCGTCGAGCTGCTGTATGGGATCTGGAGCAACAGGTGAGGCGCCTGGGAGAGTGGGCCCGGCCCCGATACATTGCCACGTCGCGTTTCCTAGGAGGAAGTGGGGAAAAATACCACTGCGCGACAGCATTCCCCCACCCACCGCTGCCAGGAATGGAAGTATTACCTTCCCAAATCAGTCTGACCTGTGTCTGGGCCGATCATGTCAGAACACAGTATTTGACTTGGGTCTGGTATATTGGTTTGTGAGATCGTGGTCAGATGTGAAAGAAATAACTTACATTTTTTTCATGTTTTTGATTTTTATATGGATGCTGCAGACTATAACAAATTCACTACTAGTGAAATGTAGACAGTCAAGGTAACCAAACTGTCTGTACCAAAATCCAGTGAACTAAATGGTGGTTTTAGAGATAGTAGGAACTGCAGATGCTGGAGAATCCGAGACAACAA